TCATCATCTGGGTCTGTCTGCTGGGATGTATCCCTCTCAGTACTAAGAGACCGGTATTGTATGTATGTATGTATAGTATAGGGTTTTACGGCGCTCGCAACTGCTAAGGACCGGTATTGTGTTGATGTGTTTCTCAAACAAACAAACAAACAGACACACGAACAAAATTTCCTCGACCAATATAACCATTCTTTTAATAGAACTAGATTCTATAATATTATAGAAAGCTGTTACATGTCATATGACTTGGCGGGAACATAACTTTTCTTTCTTCTTCTTTTTTTTTCAACTGTATGCGAAGCCTTGCTAAAAATAAACGCCCGAGTTAAATTTATGAAGGAAAGGGCCAAGTGATCGTTAGTGAGCTCAGATCAGACACAAAATGTGTCAAGCGACTGTCCGTGACACGCGGTGTAGATGGGTGGCCATGGGCTGTGTAGGATTTTGAGGAATCCACTAAAACCTGAACTTTAAAACAACAGGGCGCTGCACGGGGGGAGACCATTATAGCCGCGCACTTTTTGAAGATATTGATACAATTAGATTTCTGATTACCAAAACCAATACTATCCTACACTTTAAGTAGCCTCTGCGATTTACTGGATTTTGGGACCAGCATTTATATCAATTAGATGGCGACCAGCTATGACGTCCAGCGATGGCATATTGTAAACGTGTTTTTCCATCGTACAATAGTGTGTATTATTTTGTTTCGTTAAAAGTTTGTTTGTATGTATACAATATGTATGTTTGCTATTGCAATCCAAATTTCCTCACGCTGACCGATAAAAGTGTAATTCATTTTATCAATTCATGAATTTATTAATTTGATAAAGAGTACACTAAACCTCTTTACCCGATCCCGTCCGATTCGATCAGATCATGCGGATCGGGTCTACTTGACCAGTGCGCATCCGTTCTCACATAGCAGCAGAAAAAAAATCATTGAACCGTGCTGGGTGTCGAGTCCCGTGATTGAATGACGTAACACAGAGTAGTTCCCTTCTGCGACGTAATACAAAGTGTTTCTGACCCGGGCGCTGTGCCCCACACATTGAAGGCGTCGCAAAGTTTGTCCGTTTGCTGAGGGGGGTTGGGGGGTTTGTGGTGATTTCTATAGAAATTCTCTCTCTCTCTCTCTCTCTCTCTCTCTCTCTCTCTCTCTCTCTCTCA